GCCTTCTCGAATTCTTGACTTTGAATGTTAGGTTGCACATGAGTGTGCGAAACATTGTCAGTTCCGAGAGCCAGACCTGAAATCAATCCATAAAGGGAACATCCACTGAGTGCGGGCATGCCAAGTTCTTGAACAACGCGGGAAGCAGGGTGCAAGCTTGCCCAGCCACCCTTACTTTTGTCTTATCGCGCAATGTATGCTTGCGTCATGCTGGCCCTGCCAACAAAGACATGCACAAAGGCACGTGAGTCATCTAGCCGCGAGCTTGAACAGCACCACCTGGGCTGCATCCAAGAAGTCGTTCTGCACATCCTTGTCATATTGTGAAGCCTCTGCACACGACGCATTTACCAAGGGGCACGTTCCACTCTGCCACGATGCAGACCGCATGCCCTGGTTTTCCTTCAACTTCGACAGGCACTTCTCGGGAGAGGTCTTCTCGATATTGTCGATCTCAGTCACACAGTCCACCTCGCTCAACATGAAGTGCCGTTCGCTCGCCATGTAGTTCCACTCTCCTGCCTCTTTCTCTTTGCAGTGTTTCATATGCATTTTTTGGTCGTCTTTTGGGCATGCCTTGTGCAGGTCACTGCAATCGCCGACGCCACTCGTCTCTTTGTCTTGCAACTTCGCTGTTTGCAGGAGCGAGGGCTTAAAGTCCTGGGAGACGAGCTGGGCATCACGAGGCTCGACAGCTTGTGTCGGGTCGTGCTCCTCCAACTTCTTCCGCTCCGCTTCCGGCTTGACACTGTTGCACATGACCTCTCGGCTAGACATCCGCAGGATGGTGTCTTCGGTGCAGCATCTTTCGTTCCAACCATCCTGCTCCTCCTGATTTAGAAAGGGCCAGTACCGGCAGGTCTGTGCCTTGCCATCCCAGCCGCAGGACTTGGCGCAGCAGCCAAGAATCTCTGCTTCGACCTTGCTTACCACCAGATTTGAACATTTTGCGGGAATCGAATCTCCGTGCACTGCAACCCTTGCTGCAATGAAATCCGACGTGTTCTTCATCATGTCCACAAGCTCGTGGCACTCGTCATGGCACACTGACTTCAAAAGAACTCGCCAAGTCTCTGCTGTCTGACGCCCCATGACCTGCACAACTCTTGTCTCACTAGTAGGAAGTGGTGTCTGAGCTTTCTGCCAATGGACAAGCTCTTCGTCTGCCGTTTGTGTGGACACATCGCCTGTGAGAGCTGTCTGGCAGATGGTTTCAACTTCGGGATGCCTGAGTGCTGCATTTATGGTGTTTTTCATCGAATGATGAACTTGATAGGCGCGGCTGTCGCTGGGAATATCTTTTTCAACCATCGTGAACAAGCCTGCACAGAACCTCACCGCATCGTTCGTTATGTTGTACACGCCATACTTGCGGGACTCTTCACGAGACTCCATGGGCGTGACGCACTTGCCTGAGAGATTGGGCCGCCAGATGGTCGACCGACAGGCTTCAAAACTGTTACAATGCACACTGCCCTTCCCTAGGCTTAGCAGCTAAGGCTGCGGCAATCGGATGATTTCGGGACATCAGCTGGATAGAACTCCTTCTTCCCCTGCAAAGGCCCACATCCTGGTCCCAAGTGCGTGTCGCACATGCATCCGTCGTCCCATGGGCGAGATCCGGGCACTGTGCACTTCAAACCGTGCTCGGCAATCTCTGGCCGAAGGCTCTGCAGGATCGGAATGAGCGCCAGACAGATCCTTGCTGAGGGACAGGGCACTGCAAGGTCAAACAAACAAACTGCATTGGCAACCCTGCGGAGGGATTTAATGGAGATCAGAACTGGTGCACGAACAACGGCAAAACTGCTTCCACCAAAGAGTTAAAGTAGTGCCTCCCACAAAGGCTCCTTGTCCGTGCACCGCTCAACTACCTACGGGTACCTCTCAGCACAAGGCTTTTGCGCGAATCAACTTCACAAGAAGAGGCTTTAGATCTAAGGTTCACTGCAACTAACTATAGTCGTGCTACCAGTACTGCCCTGAGATGAGCTTGTGGAATAACTTTCCCAGCTCCCCCAAAACCACGCTCTCCGGTCATGGGAATGCAAATGCTCGATGTCAAAAGCCTGCCAAGCTTCCAGAATTTGGTCGACAACATGATTGTGGATGCTAGGACCTGCAACGCCTGCAGGCCAGGGAAAAGGCTTAGTCTTGAGCCAGGGAACGGCTGCAGAAGCACATCCAGAACGTGTGCCAGTCCGGCCCCTACCCTCGCAGTCGGCACAAATGCAATCTCGACAGTCGCGAACTCTCCCTCCGCCACATGCAATTTTTGGGCAGTCTGACAGTTGAATCCGCACAAGTTACTCATTTGAACTCAGTTGCTTGCTTGCCGGACCTTGGCCTCGACCAGGCCATTGATGCGCTGCCGGTCATCAGTGTGGTGGCCCAGACCGTAGCATTCATTCCATCCAACGTCGATGACGGACCAGCACCCAAGTCCAACAGCTTTCCCACCACCTGAACCCAGCATAGCAGAGCAGCAAGCAGGAGAAGCTCTGAGGCTTTGCCATCTTTGAGGCTCATGCCGTGCGATGTGAGCAGCGGTAACAAAGCCAGGGTGAATTGCGTGTATGATTCCGGAATGTTGTCACCATTGCCGCTGCTCTCGCCACTCCAGTAGTTACGAAGAGCGTCGGCCACATGTTGGCCTGACAGTTGGCACAGGCACGGGCGTGAAAAGAAAGCAGTAGACCGATACAGGACCATCTGGTGAATTTGAGACTGCACGCACTTCCCCTGAACAAGTAGCTGTAAAGAGGCGGCACATGCAAGGTATCAAACCTGTACGGAATGCCAAGGGTGCATTTGTCAGGAGTGTTTCGCGCAAGGCCAGCAGGTCGATCCTCCACTCCTGACCACCCTTTATTCCTCCACCTGAAGCTGCAACTCAGGGCACGCATGTCGTTCATGCTTCGCACCGGCGATGCTTCGCACATTTCACACGTTGCACATCAGCACATGAAATCTCTGGAGTAGAGGTTGAGAACGCTCGATGGGCAAATAACACGTACTGGGAGAGTGGGCATTGCAGTCAATGTGGTAGGTGAAATCTGGTGGCAACTTGCCACTCCTCTGCGAGGGCACTGCCCCCCCGGTGGAAGCCACGCCCATTGTGAAAAGCCATGATTTTCAATATCAATGGTGTCATGAGTTTCCTTGCGATTCTCTTGTTCCACCCGTGAACTGTTCCACTACTTGCTGAGAACCAGCGGGTGTCACCTTCGTAAGGAGGTACCAATGACCAAGCACGGGCGCGGGCTTTTGCCAAGGTGTGGAATGGACCCATCCGACGAGCAGAGGATTGACTGGTGGATAGAACCGAAAACATAGGCCATCTGATACAGCTGAGGCAGGCAACATGCTTGTTTGGATGAAACACACACGAGTATGCTATGAAACAAGCCACAGCAGACCGTCCAATAGCAGCAGCCAAGGAAGAAAAGAGCTTCTGCAGCGTTGGCATGCTTTGGCAACCAGAACGCTATCCGCTGGTGTTCGCACCAGCGCTCACTAGAGGGCTCGACGCCGGAAGAAACTTCATGAAACGCTGCCGACATGGAACCGAAAAGGTCAGCAACGGTTTTTACTCTCACTTCAGTATAATTACGAAGGGAATGCATCCAGTCTGCGCGGGGGAACAGGCACAGGCTGCCCGACCCACCCCAAACTCCAAGCATGAACCAAAACATCACCACACGCCCTAAACCCTAAACCCTGAACCCTAGTCCCTAAACCCTAAACCATGCGTTTGGCAGTTT